CACCTCATAATCTTTGGGTATAGTTCTGTATAAGTTTCTTATTCATGTTAGACTACAATCTCTTGGCATTTGTCCCTCCAGTCAATCCTGTTGAGTGCTTTGCCAGCCCAGCATGTGCTTGCAGCTCCACACACACTCTGTAGTCTGGCATTTTTTGTGTGCCTCTAAGAGCACTTTTTGTGTGCAGTTCAGCGTGACAAACACTCCTCATCTTGTGATTTGTAACATGACTGTGGGTCCTGCTAACCATCAGTGTGCCTGAGTGACCGACTGTGAGGCAGCATTCTGTGCAGATTGTTGGGGCAGCTCCTTACACAGGGCAATTCACACTCATTTTAGTTCAGCCTGTTTGTACAGAACTGTGGGTTGGACCTTTAAAAGGACAAAAAAGTGTTCTTGCAAACCATGCACAAGTTACCAGCTGATGATCATGAGATCAAACTAACCCAAGATAAAAAGAAAATGTAGTTAAACCAGTCATTCATGTCTTGAAACAAAGCTGTAATTCAGTTTTTACCCATTCTTCTGGGAGTAATGTAACATTTTAGCCATGATGAAATAAGGGCAGTTCAGCTGAGAAGTGCATGGCTGGAAACATCTTCCTTCATCTTTATTCCCTGTTGATTTGAGAAAGAAAAAAAGAGAACTAAGGGAACCAATTGCAGGTGCATGTCCTCCAGTGTGCGTGTATGTGTGTATTCCTTACGTGTCCGATGGAGGGGAGGGCGTTAAAGGACTTTATCTGTAACTGCAAGTGTTGTATCAGCCACTGAATCTCTGTTTCCTAACTGGTAAAAGCAGTTATAGTGCAAGTTCTGGACTACAGGACTTGTCAGACTATAGCAGAGATGACAATTTAATCTCTTAATCCTTCTTGCTCTTTAGACTTTCTCAGAAGGAACCCAAGACGAAGTCCATCCTCATAGTGGTGACTTTCTCCTGTTGTGGTGGACTAAATGCTTCTGCTTAGAGCTGCCTCCAGGTAGGCTCCTCTGTCATCCTCCACATACCCTTGAGAATGCTCCATTCTTCCCCTCGTGCCACCTCATTTGTTTTTATAAATGCACTTCCCCACTCCCAGAAGCAGTGGCAGTTAAAGTGGAACTGGTGAGAGGTTCAGTTGGGAGCCCAGGTCTGGCTCATTCGTGGAGGATCCGTGACTGTACAATAGCAGTTGGAGCAGAAAGCAGCCACTAACTCTTCTCCCCCCCTTTTTTTTGTTCTCTTGGTACAGTGCACTTGGTGTATGTGCTTGATAATTTGATTGCTTGTTGGACTTTTCTTTGCCCTACCTTCTTGTGCAAAATAATCCTCTGACACACGCACACAGTGAATGTTTATTGTGGCTGCTTTTACTGACACTTCAATAACTCTTTCAGTAAGAAACACTGCAGAGACCTTTGGGTTTGTCCTTGGTCACAAGACAGGATAGCTGAGCTTTGGAGAAGACATTTCTTGGCATCTGTTGAAAAGAGAGTGTTGAAGGATTTATAAATTTGTACTCAAGTGTTGAGTATTAGTACGTGAACTTGTTAGAAATGAGGGTGAAACCCTGTCAGAAACACCTGTATAAAGGCAGGTGGTTCTTTATGTGTCACATTAAGCTAGTTAGCATCACTGGAAGATTTAGCCCAAGTTTAGGTACCTTTCAACTTTGTTTTGCTGAAAGATCATTTTACAGGCAGATCTACTTGGCAAACCAAGCTGAACTTTTTTTAGATCATTCTCAGTTAAAATAGTCTTTTACATCACCTCACCTAGGGAAAAGTTTAATTCTTGAAGTTCCTCCACCGTTTGCTCTGTCAGGAATTCCACCCACAGCATTAGAAAGTACATTGGAAATGACAGTGGTTGGTAAAGGCTGTCACTGTGCTGTTCTCTCTTTTCAAGAGTCTCACTTGTACAGATGTAGGGAAATTACTTGTTTAGGCTTTCAGCTTGATTAACAGTTGTTGTAGAACATCCAGAACACATTGAGTCTTTAACATTTTGATCTGTATATAATTTGTGGGTTTTACTGCTCATATGAATGATTGTTGTTTTCCAAGATAAGTGAGGCAACATTAGCATATCTTAGAAAAATCAGATATAAATTATGGGATGGAAATGGCCCTGGAGTTAGTCCTGCACCTGTCATTCCACCCTAGCCCATTACTAGATGTTTCCAAAGGAAATGGAAAATGCTTGCAAAGAATGCCTTTTGGGGGGAAAACATTTCTCCAAATGACATATTAGATAATTTGCATCCTTCAGCATAAGGTTACATTCATACATTTTCTCTCTCTTCTTTAACTTTAGCTTTTAATATTACTTATCTAAATGCTTATCCTTTAGGCAATCTTACTAAACATCTTAATTCCCTAACATCTTGTTGAGTGAGTTCTGTATCTTAGCTTTGTATATTTAAAAATCCTCCAACCGTTTTCAGTTTTGTTTCGTGTAATTTCATTTGCTGTTTGGCTTCAGAAATCAGCAGTCCAGGTTTAAATAATCCTTTAAACTATGACAACAATTGCCTATTAGAGTTTTCATCTTGCCCTCATTCTCACTTGTCTGGAGAAGTTATCTTAGTTCAGTTCAGTCACTGGGTCATAATGAAACACGTTCTGCATCAGGGTGTCTCAGAGCTGCATTTAGATCCAATAAGGATCTGAGAGAAGCACTTTGGGTTCTAATAATTGTTTGTTCTTGGGCTGCAGAACTCTTTTACGTACAGTAACGTAAATGGTTAGTTGCAGTTTCAGTTGACTGAGAACTGGTAGTCCATGGTGTACAGAACACATTTCCTAGGGCATGGGCTTTTGCTAAACTGAAGTCCCGATTTCAGCAGGAAGTAGAATTTGTACATGGATTAGTTCTTTTATACTTTTCCTGTGTTGATTTTTATAATATCTGTGGGAATCTGGGCATTTTTCCACCCCCATGTTGAAGCTCCATTTTGAGGGAACCTGTGCTAATATTTATAAACTGAAGAGCTCAGGAAGGGAGGTGCCTTTGAAAACCAGGGTGACTAACACGGTGTTGACTTTGAACCTTTTGGCAAGGTTCCCATTGAGGGATTGTATGGTTTGCATTTTCCTTCAGCAGCAGGAAATCCTATCTGCCTTTGCTGAGGCTCAACTAAATTACACAAAAGGATGTTTTAGTGCTTTTTAGTGTAAATGATGTTATTCAGCTAAGCAGAGCTGGATTCTAACCTTAACCTGGATAATGTGCTGAGCACAGCATTTTGTCAGTGCTGGCAAAGAGCAGGAAACTTGAGCTGGCCAAGCTTTGTTTTATGTCAGTGAATTTCTCAGCATTTTATGGGTTAAAGATTGACATTAAATACAGGGTTTTGTCTTGTGAAAATCAAACACTCATTTAACAAAACCCCCCAACTATATAAAGTCATTTAGGCTTTTTTGACCTACAAAAACATTAATCAGACCATAATGCACTGCTCTTGATGATCTTGTTCCTGCAGTAATTAATCAAAATTTGACCACTGTTAAATCAATATAACTTTATATGGTACAAATAAAGGCCAGTTCTGAATGCTGACCACCTTTGGCTGAGCTCCTTAGCTCATAAATGTTATGGGGAAGACCACTGGTTTAAAGGGGAGGTCAAGGGGGAGGTGTTTCAAAATACTAAAATATTAAAAACTGAAGCAAATATTTGTAAAAGACAGCCCTGCAGAAAGCTGAACTACTATATATGCTTTGTATGTCTGAGGATCCTGAAACTGAAAAAGCAAGAGAGAGATTAGAAAGTGATTTAGAGAAAGGTTCATACAAATATTTAGGCTACTGCTGCCTAAGGTGCTGCTAAGGTGTAAAATGTTAATTTTGAGGTTTGTTTGAATACAAGTAGGTATTAGGTATAGAAAGGTACTTACAAAAGTATGTACCTTTCTGTTTCTATAAATAGTTGTCTCATGCTGCCTAAGGTAGATATGATTCTTTTTCTACCATGACTGTTGGTTTGCTTCTGTGAAAGCAATCCTGGAAGCAGTTCAGGTCAGGAGGTAGAGGTGGGATAGGTAGGAAGGTTCCCCCCACGGCCTCTGAACACAGCCTGAGGGTTTCTGCCTGACTCCACACTGGTGCTGACCTTCAGATGTGTGCAGTGCTCACACCAAGGTGGGGCTTACAATACCCTCAGTCTTCAGGATGAAATGCCTTCATTTTTCAAATGTGTTGTCTGATGTTCTGAGTCTCTCTCCCTTTTTCTCTCCATCCAGGAGGTTGAACAGAATTGACCAGGACAGTATCTTGCAAATTATTACCCATTTTTGTTATAGATCCAAGATCACTGGTAATCAGTGGCTCTTACCACTTGCTGTGAAACTTTGATGCTCCTGATTTCTTGGGTTTAGAGCTGTGTCATGGAAAGTCACCACAGCTGGCTGGCAGTATTGTCCAGCAGCATTAACAAATGCTGATCAGAGAACTTGCTCTGTCATTTGCCATGTTGGGAGAGTAGAGCCCAGAGTCCCTGCTGGGGAAGCTAAAGGAGAGCAAGATGTTGCTTAGGAAATTGCAAAAGCAGGAAAATAAATCTAGATTCCTAGAATACTGTCTATAAACAGTAGGTGTGATGTTGGTTATGTGGTTATGTTTATCCACTGCAATATGGCACTTCCCTTTTTGGTCATGTAATGACATTTTTGTCCTTTATTCTCTGTAGTCCAGAGAATGTTCAGATGAGTTCTGTAGGTCATTTAGATAATAAAATATATTGTTGAGAAAATTCTCAGACTGTTTTGTTTTTCTTTGTGAGCATTATTTTTGTGAGCAGAAAATGTGAGTTCAGGTGCTTGGCTAAAGAAGTCTGTGCTTATTTAGAATTCATAAATAAATAAGAAAGCTGTGTGCTTCTTTGTGCTGCATTATGGGTTGTCCTTACTGCATTGCTGTTTTTCCATACAAACTCATTACACAGCTCTGATGTCGTTGTTTTACATAAGCTTTTTCACAGGTATTTTCATGTTTCCTTTTTCTTTTCCCTTTCATCAGACATTTGCTGACCAGGCATTTGGTAGCTTCAGCTGGACAATTCCCATTGCTGTAGCCTTTTCTTGTTTTGGTGGACTTAATGCTTCAATTCTAGCAGCATCAAGGTAGTGCATATCTCTTTCAGTTTGACAAATGATCATCAATATTTTTACATGTTACTGTTATACTCATCTATTCTGACAGTGGCAAAAATACTGTTGTTACTGAACCTGTAATAAATAGCCACAATAAAATAAACCTCTGTGGATGTTAACACTACTTCCCCAAAGCATTCCTGAGAGCACACAGAGCACAATTAAAGATCATATTAATGTTGTCTGTGTGGTGAGTCCTCAGGCCTTCTGATTACTTGGATTACCTTCCATTTTACTTGGTACAATAATTCTAGCAAGTTCTTACTTTCAAATGTATTTGCTTAAAACTTACTGACCTTTTAAAATCAGTATTTTAAAACTTTTTACTGGGAAAAAACCTTAAAAAGCTGCTACTGCTATGAAGCTGCAGTCAGAAAGCTTAGGATACAGTACAGAAGCTTTTCTTTGAGCACTGATTGTGGATGTGACTAGCCAAAATTTTAAATAGATTTATTGAGGCAAATGGGAACATCATCTGGTGAAGGAGTCAATATAGAACAGTTGATATTAAAATTATGTGTGGTTTTTTGAGCATGTTTGAGTGACACCATTTTAGTGACCTAAAGCTCTTCTGGTGGCCAGTGAAAACTATTCTTCTATTTTGTGAAACAACAGAAATTTGTTTCTGTTACTGTAGATGTGTCTATTTTACCTGTAGCATGATTTTTTAAAAACAGATGTTAACAGCATGTTTCCAAAGCTTATACATCTTTTAATGGTTGTTGTACAGTACATCTCTAAAAGAAGAGTTGAAGTTTAAGGGTCCCAGTTTAAAGGATGGAAATTGAGTGGTGTAAATATTACACTGGTGTTATTTTTTTATTTTCTTTAATACATTCCCTCTCCCCTGTGGCCTCACCATGTGTTTTCTCACTAATTTTTTCAGGCTGTATTTTGTAGGATCTCGAGAAGGTCACCTTCCTGATCTGCTGTCTATGATCCACATAGGGAGGTTCACACCTGTGCCAGCGCTGCTCTTCAATGTAAGTTGTTATTGCTTTCCTTTTTAACTTCTCAGATGTGAATTATTTAAAAGAAGACTTTGGAAAATTCACAAGAGAGAACTTCAAATTTGCTGTCATCAGGGTGATTGGTGAAAGAGTGATTTTGTGAGGCATAAAAGCATGCCAAACCCCAAGGAGTGTAAGGTGTTACTTTAAGCAAAAAGCAGCATAAACAGTAAGTTTCAATGTTTTGTTGTTGTTCTCACTCTTGTTCTTTCCTGACAGTGTATTATGACCCTTTTTTACCTGGCTGTGGAAGATGTCTTCAAGCTTATTAATTACTTCAGTTTCAGTTACTGGTTTTTTGTTGGTCTGTCTATTGCTGGACAATTATATCTGCGCTGGAAAGAACCAGATCGACCCAGGCCTCTTAAGGTAACACTTATGACACAATTGTTTGAAATCCCTGTCTTCCATGTAATAAGATATATAAAAACACAAAAGTGCTGTCTAAAATCTGGACCATACATCTTGTGTCTAAATTGATCAGGACATAAAACATGGTTTCCATTTTATATTGTACCATGAAAGTTAGCTTGTCTGCTAGGGAAGAGTCAGGGATTGTTGGAATAGTATATTATTGTGTGCTAGTTCAATCAGTATCCCTTCTCTCTGTCAACAAGAGAATGCCTCTATAGGCTTACATAGGAGTCAGCTTTTTATCTTGCATTAGAAATCTCTGATGGAATGCTTAAATAACTCTGTCAGCGTGGCCCACATTTAGCTCTGATGATATCCAATCCTCTAATGACCTTCTCACACTTTGAGTTAATACTCCTCACAAAGAAGTCATTCTGGTTTCCCAAGTTCTACTGGACTTTCCTAGAAACACTTCCTGCCACTATACAGTTTCTTTTAGCACAGCAGAGTTACCATACTTGTTAATTTCTGCATTTTTAGCAGCAGTTCTGTTAAAAATAATTCCGCAATTTGCTTATGGTTCTAAATAGCCAGATATGTAAGAGGAAGAGCAGATAATTTCACAAAGTGGGGCTGAGAGGGAAAAGTCTGTATCTCAGTGTTTGTAGGCAATGAATATCACAATAACATTCTGTTCTGTTTTTCTGTCTCCAGCTGAGCCTGGCTTTCCCAATAATATTCTGTATGTGCACAATATTTCTGGTAGTAATACCACTCTATAGTGACTTTATAAATTCAGTGATTGGAATTGGCATTGCTTTATCTGGAATTCCATTCTTTCTCTTGGGAGTCTATTTACCTGCATCGAGGAGACCTCAATTTATTAACAAGATTTTAGGTAAGTTTCTTTGTAGCTGGAGATGTTGTTAGGAAAGAGGAAAACTAAATGGGTGAATCTGGGTCTGTTGATGGAAGGGGTTGTGGGGGGCTGACCCCAGCCCCCAGCAGAGTACCCCCAGAGCCCCCAGCACCCCCCAGCAGGACGAGGGAGAGAACAGGAAGAACAAGGGTGAGAAGACACTTTAGTAAGTGAAGGGGGGAAAAAACCCTGCAGCAGCAAGAGCAGTCACTTACCACATCCCACAGCAGTCCACGTGCAGCCAGTCTCCAAGCACCAGCCGTGTGGACAGACACACTCCCACGGGCACACAGCCCTTCCTCTGCCTGTTTTTAATCCTGGGCATGACAGTGCACAGCATGAAATATCCCTGTGCCTGCCTTGGGTCAGCTCTTCTGGCCATCTGCCCTCTGACCTTCCTGCCCCTCCCCATCCTGCTGCTTGCAGGAAGGGCAGAGTGGGAGAAAAGAGAAGAAGCCTCAATCCTGTGCTGTTCAGCACTGGCCAAAACGTGGGTGTTACCAGTCCTTTTGGAGCCCTAAATCCAGAGCACTGCCCCGTGTGTGGGCTGTGGAGAACCTGAACTGCATTCCACACAGACCCAGTGAGGTGTGCCCTGTAAAGGGCTGAACATCTGTGGTGACACAAGCTAACTGTCCAGCTTTACTGGATCAGCTGTTTGATATGTGAGTCACAGGTGGAATTTTGCCTTCTGTTGAATTGTAGCAGTTAAATTACACATTTTTCTCCAGCAGTGCAGTGTTGTCATTGTTACTGTGTGAGAAAAACACGATGAGGGATGTGGTAAGGAAGGTTTATAGCATAATCTTAGATTGAAACAGGATGTGGTGCTGCAGCAGTAGCATATATGGAAATAATGAGTAATCTTGTAACTTTGCTGTGTGCTATTAGTTTTAGTTTTTTATTCTACCAATTTTACACTGTTAATCATAGAGAAAAAAGATTTTATTTCAGTTACTTAGCAGGGTGCTTAAGAAGAAAGACACCATAGGATGTCAACAGAACACTTTTAAAACAGTATCTGTTTAAAAAAAGAAAACTGAGTGGAAGACAGTTATTGTATAACTCTTAGTGTTTGTTTCCCTGGAGGGAGGTGAGGCAGTTCCTGACAGCTGTCATTAGTCAGATCTGTTGTGTAATTAGAGTTGAGATTCGTGACTGTTGTTCTTATGTCTCCAATTTCCTGTGCAGGTGCAGTCACACGAAAGGTGCAGCTGCTCTGTTACTGTGTTTTAACAGAGATGGACACAAATGAGGAAAAGAAGTTAGAAAGAAAATCCAACTAAAATTTAAAGCCATTACAAGAAGCAGGAGGGAGGATACAGCGGTTAAAACAACTATAAAGGGAAGAGGTAGAACTGGAAAAAATGGGAAAACTGTTTCCAGTGGTCTTTTAGAAATCCTGAAAACGTCCTTACAGTTGGGTTCCCACAGAGATCACGCCCTCACGTCATCCTCCTGAACTGGGCCGTGTTTGCAGGGCGTGTTTTCCTGGGATGAGGAGTATCTGCCCATGTCAGGCACAGCAGCTGTGTCAGTGGTTCCCTCAGAACTGTGTTAGCATGGGAAGAGCTCCCAGATCAAATCCAATTGCTGCACAGCCAGGCAGTGAAGTAAATGCATTTTTAAGTTAGACTGAAAACCACTTTGACTCAAAAGACCAAGTCATTGCCAGCTTAATTCTGATGGATTTTTGCATGAAATGTTTTGCTGTGCTATCTCAGTTCTTACCCCAGAAGACAACTGGTTACACCTACCTACCTAATTCGTCATTGAGAAGAAAAATGAATAAAGTTGTGCTCCATTATTTAAAGACTGAACCAACTTTTCTCCCTTAGAGATAAGTATTTTATGCCATATACTACGTGGAATGTGGTATCTGACCGTGGCAAAGATTTAATCAACAAGGCACCTTGGCACTAAAAGTTTGATTAACATTTGATGATTCTTTCTTGTAAGCTTGTTTTTGGTGAACTTCTGCTAGGTTTTATGGAATTTTCACAATAAAAAATATGTTCAGTTTGAAGCAGGTAAGCATTTGTTTCTGAGCTGTTGCAGTGAACACACAGTAGCCTTGTGACCTCAGCAGTCAGAAAATTCCCTTTATTACTATCAGTAGTGCTCACCAGAAAAAGACCACCTCACAGAAGAAACCACTTTCTTTTTTTTTCCTCTATAGCAGAAGTTCTGTGGCAAAAACTAGATCCTGAAAGCTAAGCAGCAGGGAGAGAAAGTAGAAATAAAAATGGAAGTAAAAGTACTACTGCAGCACAGACATGCTAATGAGTAATATTTGTAATTCCATAGCTGTAAGCCTGACCTCAGGACACCTGTAATACTGAATTTTAGTGCAGCAAAAGGCAAGAAGCAGCAGCCTCTTTGGCTACAAGAGTGAGATGTACTTCAGAAGCATACCTGGAATCTTTATCTTAGTTCAGAGTGTCTCCCTCAGTTGATCTGAGTTTGGCCACAGGTACTGTTTTGTGCACTTAAGATGAACTAAATCTTGTAATCAGATTATGGCTGAAGCAATGCACACTTCCAAAGGTGCACCACATTTGCATCAGCCACTTGAATAACAGTGGGAATATTTGGATTTTTGCACTGACCCCATGACCAAGGTTGTCTTAGAAAGTGCAGAGAAGGGCACATGGTGGTGGATGGTGGAGACTAACATCAAATGGAGCCCTGGGATACGTTTATGGAGCAGCACTGGGATTTAAGGGAGTTAAATTCTAGCTGAGGAAGTTATGTGCCAACTGTGCATAAAACATGTCTGATCTTACCACTACTAAATAAAAACTATAATTTAGCCATTTTAATCCATCTTTTTAATCTTGCATATGGTTGGAATAGATTCAGTACCCAAACTGAGCCATCTGTCAAATGAACAAGCAGAGCTTCAGCAGGCACGGGTCGTGGCAAAGGTAACAAAGGTTATCTGGGGCCAGATAACCTTGCTCTGAAACCAACAACGAAAAAATTTTGCCTCCACTACTTTGACTTTACCGGTCAGAACTAACTGGCCTAAAGCCAGTGCTGCAGCCTAAAGCTCTTGCATGACATTGATCTCACACCCCATCAGCCATTCTTTACAGACTCCAGGAGGATAGTGCTGAAACACTTGGTGTGTTCAAACACGGAGGATTAAATGGTTTTAAAGGTGTATAAATGCAAGTTAAGATGGTGTGGCTTCTGCTGTACCAACTTCTTATGATCTTTAAGTTAGTACAGAAAACTTAGTCAAAACATTTTTATTTACAATTTAAGCACACACTGTTCTACTCCAACAGTAAAACTACTGGGAGAGCAATGGAGAGGTCAGAGCATTTCATATGCTCCAACACTTGTAAAGAAAGTCACTTACACTTAGAAACAAATACAGTAGAGAGCACTAGGACAGTGCCTTTCTCGAGGACTTCACTTGCCATCAGGGCAGACACACTGATCTTCTTGTGAAACCCGGCACATCAGCCATGACCAGAAGGGCTGCTGCCAACAGCACCTCCATGTGACGTGGAGGTCATACATGTATGACATGGAGGTATGGGCACTACAGGTACAAATGCTTGGGCAGGGAGCTTTGGGGAAAAAAAAAGTTCCTTCAGAACCTCTGTACAACACTTGTGCTTCGAACAAAAATCTGTGTTGTCAAGTGGCCACACTGACACCCATCTGTTTGAGATCTGCCAGCTGCAGCTGGCTGTCCCCATGGTGCATTCTCCTACCACAGCAGTTTCACCTTCAGCACACGTTCCATCTTCAAAAAAGAACTGTTAGTCAGAACCTAAATCTTCCATCTCGTCGTATCCAAACTCCTGTAGAACCTCCTGTCGGTATTTGTCCCATGTTCTTCTCCTGTAATATTGCTCCTCATCACTGGAGCTCTCTTCAGGCTCTACAAAAAAAACATCAACACTTACAGATTATCCCTTCTTTTTAGTTAAATAAGTTAATCAGACTATTTTAAGGTACTCGTGGAACTAACAAAGTCTGAACAACTTCTGTATTAGGTGAGGTTTGAACTGTGCTTGGAGTACTCTGGGATGGGGACTTAAAAAGGCAGAGGCAGCATTTCACAACCATGTGGACCCAAGTCATCAACTCCTTCTCAAAGCAAGCAATCCTTTGCAATTGCAGCAGTCTGAAAATGACTTAATTTTGGCTTTGCAAAAACACTCTTCTAGTTCCAAGAAAGATAATCTTCCTCTAAGCAGATTTTACCCATTTTAAGAGCAGAACACTACCCCAGCAGTGCTCAGTTAAGTTGCTTTTTTAGCATGTAAAAAGAAGAGGATTTATGTGCACAGCATGAAAGCAAACAGCATTTATTATAGGTGTACCTTTTTCTCCATCTTCCTCGGGTAAGAATTCATCTTCTTCGGGATAATCATTCCGCCAGTTATTTTCATCATTTTCATCATCTTCATCTTCATACACTTCCTCTGGAACAGGATCATCATTTACCTGCATGTCAACACAAAACATAATGCTGGGAGTCTGTATTTGTAGTGAATGTTAAGTGGGTTTTCATCCACCTGTGCAATACTATACAGATCAGAAAGAGCCAAGAGACACTCACTGATGGCACAAGGAATTCTGCAGTTACAAAAAGGACACTGCGGAAAAATCGGACCTGTCACTGTGTTCACCATAACACTTCAAATCTGCTTTAGGTGAGAAATGAGTTGAGTTACATATTTACATGTTCCACTTCAGCATTTAAATGTTAATGTCTAACTTAATCCCACTCACTTCAGCAGTAGTGTTATAGACCAAGGAAAAGAAAAAGTAGCTTCAGGTTTCCAATATGTAAGTCTATTGATCACAGTATCTATAGAACAAAAGACAGAAGCTTACATTAAACTTCCTAACTCCACAGTCACTGAAGGACAATTCTACTATGCAAAAGTATCTCATATGAAGGTTAAAGTCCAGTCTTCAAATACTGAAAAAGTTGTGTGTCCCCTTGCTCCTCTTTCCACTCAGATGTATTAACAATATTTTAATTACTGCCTCCTAATCACAAGTGAGACGTGAATTACTCAAGTTTACATTTGTGTGCCAAAATGTAATTGGCAGTTTGAAACCAGATGGATTTTTCTGAGTACATGAGCACCATCCCTTCAGTTTTCATTGTCATATCATCATTTAATGAGTGAACAGTAACCTGCAGGAACACAGCACACCAGAGGCCTAAGGCAGAAGTCACTGAGCACATGTGTAGTGTCTATCTCAAAGGACCTTTCTTGGCATGGCAATTTTTAATGATAGGACTTAAAGCATGTTTATTTGTGACCTTTCAATTTAAGAAAGATCCTTTTTTCCACACCCTTACCCATTCATATTCTTCTCTGCAGGGCTGTACAGAAAGGATATTTGCGATCCAACCAGGGGCTGATGTTTCCTTATAGTAGATGTCATAAACATACTCATCTTCCTTCTCACAGTGCTTTTTAGCATCTTCAGAAACATTTAAACGCTCGCGGATCATCTCTACTGCATTGCAAAGAATCACATCTGGATCGATCTTCTGCTAAGAAAAAATAAAAAAAATGCTTATTTCCACTCAAGGCATGCAGACAAAGTCTTGGTTACAGCCACCAGTTTTCTTTGCAGCTAACTAAGGATGACATCCTGCAATCTGAGACCAAAACACTTTCCCACTGGAATGCTTTTACACCCCGAGTAACCTCAAACAGAAAGACACCGAGGACTTTCCCAATTACCGTGGTACTGGGCATGTTTCAGCAGGACATGGTTCAGGTAAGAAGAGAAACCTTCTGTGACCAGTTCATTAGAAACTATTGGAGGGGATATGACCCACCCCATAGCACCATCCATCTGTTTCTGATGACACTGAGCAGACGAGTTTTCAGAGTGCCTGTTGCGTGCAGAGCGTTCCAGCTGCAGCATCAGGAACAGGGTGGGCAATATGCCAGCAGGTTCCAGCTGCAGCATCAGGAACAGGGTGGGCAATATGCCAGCAGGTTCCAGCTGCAGCATCAGGAACAGGGTGGGCAGTATGCCAGCAGGTTCCAGCTGCAGCATCAGGAACAGGGTGGGCAGTATGCCAGCAGGTTCCAGCTGCAGCATCAGGAACAGGGTGGGCAGTATGCCAGCAGGTTCCAGCTGCAGCATCAGGAACAGGGTGGGCAATATGCCAGCAGGTTCCAGCTGCAGCATCAGGAACAGGGTGGGCAGTATGCCAGCAGGTTCCAGCTGCAGCATCAGGAACAGGGTGGACAGGATGCCAGCAGGTTACAGCGTGTAAGTGTGCAGGAGAAACACTGGGAATGGGAGAGGGGCACAGGAAAAGGCTGCCAGGCCCTACACATACACTTTGTATTTCCTTTATTTCCTTGCTTCAGCATTGCCACAGAAGAAATATCTTCATGTTTTCTCATTCCTAATAAATTATTTGCAATGGATTTGCTGCAGTGACCTGCCCTGGAAGGTCTACACAGGCAGTTTTTTCCTGCAAATTTTTCCCTGCTAGAGCTTTTCAGAGTATCTTGTCCAATCCTCAGTTAGAACTAGTTAGTTCTGGCGAGCAGCTACAGACCAGCCATTTGCCTACTTACAGAATTAAGAAGAAAGCTTGCTTGCTTTTAGCACCTACTGCTAGTTCTAAAAGAGGAAAATTCTGACGCTACCTCAGTTTTGTTTTTGTTTTTCCAATCCACAGAGTGATAGATAACAGTTAATTAAGAGAACTGTTATGCTGAATATATTTTTTACTTCTGTATGAACTGTTTGTGTATGAACTCAAACGTCTGTCTGACCTACTTAGTAGAAAGTGAGAGTTTTACATCAAAGCCCTGCAATAACCTATAAGAAATGCTCAGGGATGACAACTGGCTGGGCTTTCCCTCACCAGCATCACTTCTTTAACCTGAAGCATTAAGCTTTCCTCAGAGCTGCGATGGGCTGTGTAAGGAAAGCAT